TACGTCTCACACTGGGGGAGTATTTGTGGCTAAACCCAGAATGGGGACTCTGTCTTTAGCTTCATGTGTGTTATATGTATTTATTCTCATCCCAGAACACTATCATATCAGTTAATTAATATGGTGAGAAAAGCAAAATCGCCCCCTTCTCCAAACATGAGTGGAAGATGTTGAGGTGTTTTAGCCAAATTGCTAAAGCTTTCCAGGTGACTGAGAGCAATTTGTGAATATCTTACTTCATCTTACTTTAATATGAATATAACTCATTGTTTGAATTTTATTCTTAATGTTCTATCACAAAGTTATTTTACATTAATGCAAGATTGCCACATTGTGATTTTTTTATTTGTAAAAAATTTAAAATAATTATTTTAATAAAGCATTCAAATGTTTATTTGAATATTTTAACTTTCCCCCAGTAGAATGCATTTCTGATTAAATAATGAAAATGAATGGGAAAAGTAGTATTTATTTATGACAGTGTAGGCTAAAAAGCTTCTATTTTAAAAAGAATGACTTTAAGGGTTTTTTAAATAAAAGAACTAGATAGATATTTACTTTAATAAGTGAAAAACGTCATTGAATAAGCTTATCTTCTTTTTTTTTTTTGAGACAGAGTCTCACTTTGCTGTCCCAACTAGAATGCTGTGGTATCATCATAGCTCACAGCTACCTCAAACTCCTGGACTCAAGCAATACTCCTGCCTCAGCCACCCAAGTAGCTGGGACTACAGGCACTTGCCACCTTGTCCAGCTTATTTTTTCTGTTTTTTGTAGAGATTGTGTCTCACTCTTGCTCAGGCTGGTCTCGAACTCCTGACCTTAAGTGATCCTCTGCCTTGGCCTTTCAGAGTGCTAAGATTACAGGCATGAGCCACTATGCTTGGCCTTACATAAGCTTTTCAAGTGTAAAAAAGTAACAATGTAGGCCTTCAGTATATACTCTGACCCTCTGAAATTCCTAAAGCTAAAAATATTTTAGTCAGATCATTTTACACAGTCATCTCTAGAACCATTGTGGCCATTTTCTGTTTGTTCAACATGAGAAGAAAAAGCAGTAGATAGAATTAGATAGAAGGTCAGTTCTTTAACTGGTGATTCTAGTGGTTGTCAGCATTTTTTTAAAAAAGAAAAGAAAAGTGGCCTCCATGGCACTAGGTTGGATGCTCAGAATAGAGCCCAGGTAGCGATTCTGTGTGGCAGTCATCACCGCTGCAGGCCGGGATGCCAGTGCTAACCGCAGGGCTGTGCCTGCATCCCAGGAGCTCTCCAGTGCTGGGAGCAATCGGTGGTGATTAGCTTATGCATTACTGAGATTACAGGCCCCCTAGGAAGACACTAATTCTGCATTTTATTTAGTACTTAGTGCTTGATGCTTGTTATTCAAAGAGAACAGCAGCATCTCTGACAAGCTGTTGCTTATAGCTGGTTAAAAAAACAAACAGAAAAGCCTCCCTGGGGTTGCTTTAGGATAACTCCCTCTTTCTATCCTTCATGGCACCCCTCCCCTATTTCCCTGGCCAGGAAAGCATTTTTTTCTCCAAGAAGTAAATGCAGCTGCCAGAGCAACTTTGGAAGGCCGAGTTGAACACCATGGACAGCGACGTGGACAGCCTTCAGCATTCTCCCTGGTCGTCCTCCTGCCAGAGACCAGTGAATGGGCGTGGCATGTTCACCCAGAGAGCACCATGCAACTTTTGATCCCTCAAATATGGGTCAAACGCTCCTAACAGATCTCCTTTCCCTGTCTCCCAGCACACATTTACTAAGTTGATTTTCATGCACCTATGATGTAACACCCATGGGTTTTTTTTAATTCTTTAGGATCAGGTTCTGCTAATCTTAGAACTGGACCAATCTAGGTCTTCTTGTTGTGCCAACTCTGGGACTACTCCTTGCCAAGGTCGCTCTGCTGTCAGGAGGGCTTTCTGTGTGCTGCGTGGTGTACCAGGCTGTGGCACTAGTTCCCTGTTCTGGCACTAGGCGAAACTGGAGCAGCTCAGCCCATCTGGTCTCAGTCTTTTCTATAAGCAGCATTTAAACACGTTCTTGTGCAGATCCAAGACCCCTTTCGTGCATCGCAGGTGCTGGCTGGTGGTGTTAGAGCGCTGTAAGGCAGGTGATGAGAACACGGCCACCCTGCACGGTCATGCAGAGAAGCAGTGTGCGGTCTTGAGCTAGAAGTCTGGATACCTGGCATCTTTTCTTGGTTTGATTTGTCTTCTCAAATTGAAATGATCTCCCCCTTTCTGACCTGTGAATTTTCCAATCTGCAAAGGGGGTCAGGTGCGTTCTGTCAGAGGAGCATCTATATAAGGTCTGTGCCCTCTGAGTGCTCTCTGGCGGCGGTTGTTTTTCCGAAAGTTTGGACCAGCTTTGGCATTTTAAGCAGGTTTATTGGCAGGAGATGGACTAGCAGCAGCAGGGATGGAGCATCATGTCTGTCTCACTTGGATTCTGCCCTGAGGGCTCACAATCTGTTTTCCCTGCAGCACCAAGTACCCTATCACTGCTGAGTTAACAGAATAAGCCAGGCTTCCGCAGTGAGCCTGGGCACCCTGCCTCGGGAGGGCCAGTGGCTTCCCAGACAGCATGATTATTTGGGAGGACACAAGGCTGAGTCCTTCTTAATTAGACAACAGTAAATTTTCACTTGAACATGAGCTAAAAAAATAAACATTAGACAACTAGATAACCTACTTGGAAATTTGATTAGCATCTTCCAGATTTTCCACATTGAGGATAGTTTGAAACCAGCAGTTTGAAGGCCTAATTGTAAACTAGTAGGATTCTGCCAGGCAAAGACTAGGAAGTGGCAGGAGACTGTTCTGCTGTAGGAAAGAGTGTTCTCACCTAAAAGTTCCTGCCCTGTTTATATTTTATACTCACACATTGCCCTATGTTCCTATGCCCTACACACACACTATGCCCTTGTTCCTCCTCATGATGCAATTTCACTTATACACCTCTCTCCCTGCCCCTGCAGCATTAACTAGTCATCAGATGTGGGCTCCCAAAGAGGGGTGTAACCTCGGGTGTAACCTCCCTTCAGACAAGGGCAACTTCTGGGAGGGACTTGTGAGCTGTCAGCACCAGCACCCTGCATGCCTCAGTCTTTAAGGGAATCTATGTAGCACCCCATAGCATCCACTTCTGCATTGGTTCTCGAAGTGTGTCCCCTGGCCAGCAGCATCACCCATCACCTGGGAAATGCAAATTTCTGAGCCCCACTCCAGAACTCCGAATCAGAAACTCTGGGGTGAGGGCCCAGCAATCTGTTTTAACAAGCCCTCCAGGTGATTCCAATACATGCTCGAGTTTGAGAACCATTGCACTATAATGATATAACTATTTTTAAACTTTTCTTTTAAAAAAGTAATGTTAAATATACGTATGTCATTTGACTCCCAGGCATTTAACCAAAAGAAAGGAAGGTATATATGTACACAAAGGACCTGTACATGAATGTTCATAGCAGCTTTGCTCATACTAGCTTTAAACTAGGAACAATCTGATGTCCATCAGTAGGTGAATAGATAAAGCAATCATGGTATCTGGTATATATCTACACAATAGAATACTCAGCAATAAAAAGGAATAAACTATTGATAACCCAGCATCATGGATGTCAGTGTAATTATGCTGAATGAAGAAAGCCAGACCAAAAAAATATTGTGGGATTCTGTTTATATAAGTGTAGAGTGCAAACTATAGGGACCAAAAAAACCCAAATCAATGGTTGCTTGGGAATGGGGTTAGAGGGCAAGAGAGGGATGGATTATAAAAGACCATGAGGAAATTTTGGGGGGTGATAATGTTTATTATTTTGAGGTCATGGTGTCTCAAGTGTATACATATGTCAAAATTCATCAAGTTGTACACTTAAGTTGTTTATCAGTTTGTATGTCAGTTACATCTCAACACTCAACAGAGCTGTAAAAAAAAAAAAGGTTTTTTTTTTTTTAGAGACAGGGTCTTGCTCTGTCACCCAGGCTGGAGTGCAATGGTGCGACCATAGCTCACTACAGTTGCAAACTCCTGGGCTCAAGCGATCCTACTGCCTCAGCTTCCCAGAGTGCTATGATTACAAGCAAGAGCCACTGTGCCCAGCACCCAAAATAAAAATTAAAGTGTGATGGTTACCTGGGAAAGGCAGGGGAACAGGTGAGAGAGGGACACATTTTTAATGATGTTCACGGTGCTCATTATGTTGTTATATAAATGAATAAAAAAGGAGGGCCACCATGGAAAAGAAAAATTGTCAAATTGCTCTCATGAGCACTGGTGTTCATGGTTACAGCCACGTCCTCATTGCCATGTGCAATGTCATCACTCCTGGCCACGCCCTGCCAGCAGCTGACGTAGGCTTCTTCCCTGGTAAACACTCTCCCGCATCGTGTTATAGTCACATGGCTGCTTGTCTTGCCTGCATCCTGCTTAGCTGTTCTACCTGCTGTGGTGTCTGGTCTAGTCTTTCACATTGCCGGGGTGACTGAGGGTACACGGAAGAGACTCTAGCTCAGTTTTGTACCTTATGGCCCCATGAGCATTCTGCATTGCCTTAACATTTTATTGGATATGTTGTGGTCTCTGAATCTTCTTCTTTCAAAAGGAGATTTGTCTTTGTGATTGCCAAAACTATATTTAACATTTGTCACACCATAGGTTATGTGTCATTAATGAAAAGCTGAGGCTGAGGTTGATTTTTTTTGAGATGGTGTCTCACTATGTTGCCCAGGCTGCCCTCAAACTCCTGGGCTTAAGCAATCCTCCCATCTCAGCCTCACAAGTTATAGGGATTACAAGTGAATGCCACCATGCCTGGCTTGAGGTTGCTATTTCTTACTGGTGCATTCCTTAAGTGCACACTTAGAAATATTTAGCACACCTTCGACTTCCTAGATTGATTTCAGTCAAACCTGGTTTAGTATTAACAACCCATAAGGAATTCTTTTGAACTTCCTGATTGGCCATATCCTTGCCTCTTTTTCTTTCTGCAGATCTGATTTGAATCCACTATAACCAGCACTACTCAGGACTTTCTGGATCCAGACCAAGGGCTCCAGTGTATACCAGACTGTTGAGCAAGTGAGTAGCCCCAGGACTGCCTCTCCGTGGAAGCTGGTGATGTTCTTGTCTGACTGAAGTCACTTCTGGCTTCCTTATGGGACCCTGGGTGTGGGTAGCACACTTCCCACTGGGCACAGACCATTAAGCATTGGGATTTTGTGATGAGAGGAATTGATGTGTCTAAAATCTCAGGAAACCATCATTATTAGCATACACAGACATTTTATAGTAAACGCTGTACTAATGAGAGAATATAGATTTTCAGTCAGTAGGATCCATCTTGGTGCTTGGAATTAAATGATAGAGGAAGGTGAAGTTATCACTTAGCTATACCCAGGGTCAGGTTAGGTAAAATGCTCATTTAACTTGTAGGAATAAACTTTTAAGAACAGGACCTCCAAATTGCCTGGAATTATTTCCATGGAAATGCCACAGCACAAGTTACCCAAAGCTAATTGGATTTCCAAAAATGTTCACATGTCACAAATATGATGGGAAATTGTTGCTTTTAAATAATAGAGGGCTAAGGTGATCTGACTTTTCTGCACCTGATCCAATGCAGTATCTTTTTAGTTCATAAAGGCAGTTCATTAAACACATTACCTAAGGTGAGATCACTTTCATACCTTTGTAAGACCACCATGTCTAGGATTAGGGTTAGGAAAATAACAACCGTCAGAGCTATGGAAGCAGACAAGAAGTAGGCAAGAAGTGCTGAAAAGACATGGCTATGGGGGATCAGAATTTCTGATTTCTTCCTAATCACCAAGGAATACCACTCCCTTCAGTAAGAGCAGGACCCTGCAAGACTGTTGTTCAGGAACTAGTTGGGCATGTTTCTGTCTTGAACTTTTCCAAAAATAGGACAGATAATAGGATGACTATTTCCACTTACAGTTTTTTTTCTTTTTTTCTGACAATCATCAGAGAACGGAGTTTTACATTAATTTTACATGTTGATGTCTTAGACTACTTTCCCTGTTAATTGATAGAAAATAATTTACATCCTTGAAAGAATGTACTATATTATAAAAAATAATTTTAATCCTTTCACTTTCCATTCCACAAACACTGCAGAAGGCTAGGATGAATCAATAGCATTTAAAGTACTGACAAAAGCTGGGTGTGATGGCGCATGACTGTAGTCCCAGCTACTTGGGAGGTTGAGGCTGGAGGATCACTTGAGCCCAGGAGTTTGAGGTTACAGTGAGCTATGACTGCACCACTGCACTCCAGCCTGGTGACAGAGCAAGACGTTGTCTTAAATAAATAAAAAGTAAAGTACTGACTGATACCTGTATTTTGCAGGAAGGAGACTGTGATTTTGAATTCCTTGGTGGAGGAAATTAAAACATTCTGGTCTTGCCCCCAACGATGCAAGTGTGATTGCTGGCATCTTCATGAGCTCCAGAGGTCACAGCACGCTACCAAGGACTCTCATGGCCCCTCGGATGATTTCCGAGGGAGACATAGGAGGCATTGCTCAAATCACCTCCTCTCTCTTCCTGGGCAGAGGCAGTGTGGCCTCCAATCGGCACCTCCTCCAGGCTCGTGGCATCACCTGCATTGTCAATGCTACCATTGAGATCCCCAATTTCAACTGGCCCCAATTTGAATATGTTAAAGTGCCTCTGGCTGACATGCCTCATGCGCCCATTGGACTGTACTTTGACACCGTGGCCGACAAGATCCACAGCGTGAGCAGGAAGCATGGGGCCACGTTGGTGCACTGTGCTGCAGGGGTGAGCCGCTCGGCCACTCTCTGCATCGCTTACCTGATGAAATTCCACAACGTGTGCCTGCTGGAGGCGTACAACTGGGTGAAAGCCCGGAGGCCTGTCATCAGGCCCAACGTAGGCTTCTGGAGGCAGCTGATAGACTACGAGCGCCAGCTCTTTGGGAAGTCAACAGTTAAAATGGTACAGACACCTTATGGCATAATTCCAGACGTTTATGAGAAAGAGTCCCGACACCTGATGCCTTACTGGGGGATTTAATGCCACCAAAGCCTGCATCAGCAGCCCCTGAGCAGTGCCAGCATCTGCTACACACTGTCTGCTCCCCTCTTCACCTTTCTTCTCAAATGGTTGACTTTTTTTGGTTCTCCCTCAAGTGTTTTTTACACTGGGTATTCAAGTTTATTTTAAGAGGTTGGGGGGGGGGAGACATAAGGGAAATGCATACATTGCTAGGAACATTTTTAAAACTAACATTTTGGAATAGTGTTTATGAAAATCTTGAACTGGCTTTTAATCATTTTTAACAATTTGAACAGTTTAATAAACTGTTTGGTTCTGCTTTATTCTGAATCCCATGCCTTTTGCCACCATGGTAGGTGCAGGAGGAGCTCAGTGCAAAAATCACTTAGGGCCCTGATTAACCCTTTAGAGACAAGCTTTGCCCAAGGCTGCCGACCAAACAGATGCTTAGGGAAGATTGATACCAGCTTTAGTCTCTACTGGATTAGCCCTACTCTTTCCTTTCCCCTCTATTATTTAGTAACTCTGTAAGTTAAAGTAAATAAACCTTTATTATTTAGCTGTTAAGTAATTATAATGAAATTTGCTGCAAAAGCCCTCTTGGAATCAATGTGCCCAGGATATTAGCATTATTTTTAATAAATATATCTGCTTAACATTAAAATTTTTACTAATAATTTCAAGGTGTGTGTTGATGATGGAAAAAAGATGCTGTCTAATAACTATGCTAAAATATGGCTCTTGTGACAATTATGAACACTACTTAAGACATCCCAGCCGAATCACATCAGTGTTTCACATTCTTGCAGATGGGCAGATAAATCATTCACAACACTGGAACAGCAGAAAACAGTATAGGATGTACACTTTGATAAAAGGGTGCTGCTTTCGGTTTTCTCTTGGTAAGTGGAGTGCACCAAACTAGTGAATCCTCTCTCAAAGGAACTGGTTTTCAACAAAAGGTGTGCCTCTGCCTACTAACTCATAGAGGAATGCCCTAACCTAAACCTCAATGTAAGTTAGAAGCAAACAACAATGGCTTCCTTTGTTTAACTTTGGAAATGTCATCCAGTTCACTGCTCCTAGTAAATTTGACAGCACAACTCATCGGGGATGTGGTGGAAGTTTAATGAGCTCTTTTCTATTCCACTCCTGGGAAACCACTGGCGTTTACCGGGTTGCCCCGTTACTTTCAGATAGGAGACCTGCCTGGAAGTCTGCCCAGACAATGAGACCCATTGTCATAGCACTGCTTTATTTTACTTCATTGGTCAAGTAGATTGTAGCTTGCTTATCAGTGGAATGATTTCTTAGATTTTTTGGTCTATTTTGGCAGGAAGCCATGAATATGCCAGTAGCTACATATTTAGACAAATTGTACCTTCCAGATCTTACCTGGTTTATAGCAATGATTTTGCATCTAAATTCTTTTTCTTGTTTTATGCCACTTGCCCACTCTTTAAAAACATGCATCATTATTGTCTAAATAGGAAAATTAAAATGAAAAAAATTGTTAATACTGTCTATGGGAAATCAGAGGAACCAACAAATGCTTCATTAGCATATGATCAAAAAACAATAAAAACAAAATAATCCAGGGAGGCTATGGCTTTGTTTAATATGAAAACATCTTTAAGTCTGGTAGTCTCTGAATAAGACCTCCCAAACAATCATTGTATTACAGTAAGAAACTACCTGGTGACATGTTCTTGGTAATTAAAGAAATTTTCCTAAGAAATCTGGCAAATACCTCTATGAGGATGTAGCTAAGAGTGTTCTTTGCACTTGGAGAGCCTAACACCTTTCTCATCTGAGTGCTGGGGCCCCTGTTCATCCTAATGGCTTGCATCTACGTGAAATCTTAACAAAGACAAGACCAAGAGAAAGTCTAGTAGCATGACATTCTTCTATACTTGTGTTTTACTGTCAGTGTAGTTTAACAAATAGTTATTTCAGAGCAGACCCTAAAAGTATTTTAGAGGTCAAACTTTATAATGTCTAAACATGTCAATTCGGGCAATTGTTTATTAAAATGTAAACACAGGAAAAAAAAGCCACACCATCTTTTAAAATACAGGACCAAATTCCACATCACATACAAGACAACCCATTTTACTATGGACCCATGGCTACAAAATGACATATCACACATGAATTCTATTTTTAGCCACTTACACTATATTAAACATATAATGTAAGTAAAAATTTTGTCATAAAATTTGTCTTTGTTAGAAAAGTTATTTGTAAAGTGGCATTTTTCAGCCAAGAGATAGTCTACTTAAGCTTTATTTCCTCAGCTTGACCTTGCAAGAAGAGGGCTTATCAATATTGTTATTTGGTGTACACTTTTCCAAAGAAATACTAAGTAACCTAAACATTAAAAAACCACAGGCTAAACACATCTTGCCCTGCATTCTGACATTTGCTGGAATGGTCTACAGCAGTCTATAATGCTCCCTTCTGAATGGCAAATGTCTCTGAAAATGTCAGAGTTTATTAGCCGTTCACAAAGGAAGGTGTTTGACCGAGAAGGTGTTAAGGGGAATTTTTGTAGTGGTTCCCAGGGCAAAGCAAGCATTTCAAATTTCTGTACCATACAGCTCCTATCTTTTCAAAGCTTGACAATACACTAATTAAATACACAAGCAGAAGACATCTTCTACTGAAAAGACCGAAAAAAAACCCTCAAAATACGTATATGTACACAAAATATTCAAATAATTAAAAATACACAACCCCTGTGGAAGGCTAACTAGTAACCACAGGAAAAATATGGCATGGAAAATACCCCAATATATCTTGTACCTCCTTCTATCTCAAGCATGTCCAGACAAAAATTAAATTACACACTAAGTCATAAAAATTGTAAAGGCAAAACACAATACGAGAAAAAAAAAGTGCTTATTAATCGCCACTCAAGCAGTGGGGTGAAGCCGCCTGACACAATACACAGTATGGAAATCAGTAACCTTGGTTACGGTTTCCAAGGACACTGGGCTCTGGGCTCTTAGCTGAGGTAAAGCTGAATGCGATGTTGAGTCATTTTAATAAATGTAGATAAAGAAAAGCAGCACAATGGAATTCCACACTCCCCAAATCCTTATTGGTAGTGTCTAATTAAGCATTTCAAGTATTAAACAGATATGAAAGGTAGTGGATACTTTTCAGAGCAAAGGCTTTTTGTTGATGTCTGCTGGATTTTCCTCTTGCATCTCCTAAGGAATGACTAAACCTATCATGCTTGGTAAGGAAGGCGGTGATTGCACTTAGGAATTTTATCTGAGGCATTCTGGAATTTATCTAGGAATAGGAACCAATCTGGTTAGCAGGTAAGCCTACTTTTTAAAATGTCATGGATATAGGCCACTGTGACCAAAATAGTCCATACAGCATTTCCAAAAAATGTTTCAGCAATATAAATTCTGTCAAACTGGGAAGCATTCTTATTGCAAAAGTAGATTCTTTTATTGTGGTTCCGTCATGGAATTTACAAGACTGATTAGAAGCCTGCTTGAATTCTGGAGCCAAGTTGAAACACCCAGGCTGCCCAGGATGAAGTGGAGCCCAGAGCCCTCAGGAAGAGCCTGCTGAGGATGGGCCCACCTGTGGTGTTACTAACACCACTTAGCCCCATGGAGAGCAAAGGCTCCAAAGGTGACAACTCAGAGATAGCTGCCACAGTCATTAGTACAGGGAGATGGAGCAAGAGAGAAAAACAAGCATCTTATCAGTGCATCTGTGCATTCTGGTGCATAGCAAGGTAGAGCAGAAGCCTCATTAACAGCTGTTTAATGAAAATGTTCCACACTTTTCTTGGAGAATATGTAAGAGGTGTAAGATGGAGCAAGATAGAATTTGTCCTGAGAGGAGAAAATAAACTAATTATGTAAAAGCAGCAATTATATAGACAAAAGCAACTTTTTCAGCTTAAAAATAAAAACTAAGTCTAGGTCAGAGAGCCCAAGTCATACAAAGGGAAGCAAACAAGATTTAGATTTTCTTCATAAAGCACATAATCAACAATACAGAGAAATGTGTGTCCTAGATCTGTATGTTCTTCCTAGGAATAGCACAGCCTTTAGCCACTTAGTTTTTTCCCCCCTGATTTTATGCATTCAGTTTAAATGGCAAAGACAATTCCCTAAACAAGAGAGCAAGAGCCTTTTCCTTCTAGAATTCAATGCTGTTTCTGAACAATTTGTTCCACTGCTTCTAAGTCATGTACCTTTACCATAAATATACATCTAATTGTTCTCACTAGACTGAGAACTCCACGTTTTTACCTGAATTAATTTTCAGGTCTTTATTATCAACACTGCAAAGTCAGGCAGTGTTGGTCCCTGTGCAGTATCTTTGGAAATCTGGAGACAGGCCACCACAAAGAGATTTCATACCACTGCCTTTCCAAGTCTTGTCTGAGATCCATGCGCAGCCTTTGTGTGAGGCAAAATAGGTTTTCAGCGAAGACTCCTAAGGGGACGGATATTCATCCTGATCACAGGATTTGGGCTTATGTCAAAATGAATATTTTTCACCACTGCAAAATGCCTAGGCATGTTTTGGGAAAAAGTCTTTTTGAGAATTGACAGTTTTAGAATTGAAGGAAAGGAGCAGAGAATTGGTTCAGCTGTGACAGCAACACTGGTAAAATCTGCCCTTACCTGCCTGCCATTGTCCAATGGAGACCAGTAGAACCTTCTCTATAAAAAGATAGAGCATCAGTTTAATCACAATTTCCCCTTTTTATTCATTGCAGGTATTAACAAACTGAATGTGGATAAATGCATTCTACTTCACAGGACAAAATGTGTTTTAGCAATAAATAAGCACTGGCTCAAAACAGTCTTGCCAATTCCAGTCCCACAACGATATTTTTCTTCAAATGTCGATTCTTCACAGTTTCAGTATTGCAGCAGCAAATCATTCCTTAGATAAAGAAAATTGTGGTCCATATTTTAAAACATATTAAGAGAACCAGAGACAAGTAGGCAAACTTCTGGTGCCACATGCAGTTTAGGTAGGGCCACTTCACTCAATCCCAAATACTGGCAGTGGGGATGATGGACCAAAGGCTCTGTAGGAATGACTGGGACCCTCCACAGCGCTCCCCCCACTCTACCTCTTGGGGAATTCTTCATACAGATTCACGGATGTGAACTTTGCAGTACTTGAATTCTGTTTATTGGTCCCTGTTACCCCAGGGGGTGTGACAAGAAAAAAAAAACAAAACACAAAACGGTTGGTGCTTCATAGAGGAGCTTTTCAGAGCAAATCAGGCAGGATGAGGCCAGGAGGTTTTGGTTCAACACAGTTGATCCAGAAGTTGGCACAGCTGGCGTGATACTGGTGCCCTCCATATGCCAGCTTGAAGCTGTCTGTTTCGGAGTTGAATGCCTGCCAGAAATAAGCAGAGATGTGGGGCAAGTCAGGCCTTTTCTGCATCTGAGAGCTTTTCAGCAACCCCACATGTATACCTCTCCAGGTCACAGAGGCTGAGGCCAAAGTGACACACACACAAAAGCTAAGCAGGTAGCTATAGGAATTCAAGTGAGAAAGTGTTTCGCTGCTAATTAAAGGTATAAAAATGGTTACCCCTAGACCCAATTTCAGCAAAAGTGGCCAAATCTTTCGTAGAAAAGGCAGACAGAGGTTATGGGAGGAGCA